TCCCAATTATTAGATTATATTCAATTTGGAAAGGAACAATCTGCACAAACTGCCTTGTTACCACACCACCGCGACCGAACACCCAATGCCATGCGGCGCGTAAAATATATGCTTGTGATTGCATTTGCATAATTGTCTGTTTTTTTGTTTTCCTATTTATTTTTTATGGTCAACCGAGTTGCTTAATATTAAAAGAGTGCCTCAATTAGTATGTTTGTTGCTTAATTTAATAATTCTAGCTTAGAGCTTCCCCCTGCCTTCTGTTTTTACACTGAAAAATATAAGAACAGAACAAAAGTAGCTTTGGTAGCGTCATTTCTTTCCAACAGTCAAAAAATATTGACAGTTTTTTACTATTTTTTTACGTTCAAAAATGTGGTCGTCGATTTACAACTCTTTTCTTCTTTTCTAGTTTTGTTTGGGATAAATCATTTATCCAGCAGATTTTATTCTTTCACTTTTAATCCCTGCAAATAGCTGGATGGCAAACGCTTCCAACTTATTGTCATCACCCTTTCCAGATTTTCTAGACTAAAACATACCAAAACATACACACTTGTCTATCAGTATATGACAAAACTAACTTTGTTATCTATTACTGATCCATCGGTAGATACTATTAAAGAATTAAATAACTTCTTACAATATATTTTAGAAAACAAAGGTTGATTCACCAGCTCAAAAAAAAAGTTGTTTGTACATCAGACATGACCTACCTACCGGCGTGTATTTTGACCCAGTGAATCCGAATTTCTAGTCAGTTTTGGCCGTCCACCCTTTAATATCCACCCTTGCAATATCTCTAAAAACTGATGTATGAACTGAATGAGGCGAAAGATTTTCTCAGATTTTGAACTGTTTTTTGTTGGTATCAAACCTGTTTGTTCTCAAATGACCGCAGTATTCAGCGTATCGAAATACATAAGACTTATGCCCTGGTAGAGTTGACTGATGTAATCCAGGATGCACTGACAAACAAAGAAACGGTCGTGTGTGTGCCTTCCTAGACATAGAAGGAGCTTTTGACAACACGCCACACGAATCTGTAAAAAGAGCACTTGCATACAGAGGAGTAGATAACACCACATCCAGATGGATGGCGCAGCTGTTATCTACGAGAACTGCAGAGACACAGATAGGGCAGGACACCATCTCCATCTGCACAACCAGAGGATGTTCACAAGGAGGAGTTCTATCCCCACTAATGTGGAGCCTAATCGTAGACGAACTTCTATGCAGATTGACTGACCTCGGCATACCCTGTCAAGGTTATGCCGATGACATAGTCATATTTGCTAGTGGCAAGTTTAGTAATATCCTGTGTGATATAGTCCAACGAGGACTAGAATATACCAAAAGATGGTGCCGTGAAGTGGGACTTAGTATAAACCCTACAAACACAACACTAGTAGCCTTTTCAAGGAAAAGAAAACTTAATCTCAAAACCGTTAAATTAGACGGGATAGATATAGAATGGAAAAATGAAGTCAAATATCTAGGCCTAACCCTGGACAACAAACTTCTCTGGAACGCACATGAGAAGGAAGTAGTAAATAAGGCCACAAAAGCCCTAATGATATGCAGAAACATTGCAGGTAAACGATGCGGATGTAACCCAAACATACTGCGATGGATGTATACTGCAATAGTGAGACCAATCATCACTTACGGGGCTATAGCCTGGAGTAACAGAACTAGTTTAGTTACTACGAGAGCTAATATCTCAAAAGTACAAAGACTAGCCTGTGTTTGCATTACTGGTGCAATGAGAATCTGTCCTACGGCCGCAATAGAGGTGATCTTAAACCTCACCCCTCTACATTTGATGATAGAGAATGTGGCAAAAAGGACACGATATAGAATGATCAAAAACGGAGTAATCAGACGAAAGTCTACTTGCTTCAATACTAAAGATACCTGGGACATGCCCCAGGATGAAATGCAAAAGAAGTACAGTTTTGTGAAAAACTTTAAAACCACAGAGCTGGGCTGCAAGAAAGAATGGAGCCAAGAATCCATCGTGCTTTCAAACGAAAGACGTGCTATTCAGTGGTATACAGACGGTTCCAAAACCATAGAAAGAACTGGAATAGGAGTGTATGGGCCGAGAACCAAGCATTCCGAAAGCTTGGGAAAATACCCAAGCATCTTCCAGGCGGAAATTCACGCCATCGAGAAGTGAATCCAGTTTAACATCGAGAGAAACTATCATAGACAAGAGATTATCATCATGTCCGATAGTCAAGCAGCCATCAAGGCGCTGAGTTCTTACGTAATTAGCTCAAAAATGGTATGGAGATGCCTAGAACAATTGAATGAGCTAGGCGAGAAAAATAGAGTTACTCTCACTTGGGTCCTGGGACATAACGGAGTACAGGGTAACGAGATTGCAGATAGTCTTGTAAGAAAAAGGGCTCAAACACCCTTTGTAGGACCTAAGCCGTTCTGCGGTATCAGCAGTAACATAATATTAGGAGAGATTAAAAAAGAATTGGGTAGTAGAAGAACCGATAATTGGAACAATCTCTTGGGGCCAAGATACTTCTGGGTGAATATAACCAGAAAAGATGGGAAGCTTGCATCTGCCTAAGCAAGAACAGGCTACGTATTGTAACAGGGATCCTTACCGGGCATTGCCGACTAAAAGGACACCTAAGTAAACTGAGAGTAGTAGAGGATAGTGAGTGCAGATTCTGTGAGGAGGAGGAGGACGAAACCTCCATTCACATCCTAACTGAATGTGTAGCACTCCAGAATCCAAGGGCACTATATCTAGGAGGATATCAAATAGAAGAGGGAGATTTACCTAACTTGAAGCCACTTCAAATCCTACACTTCCTTGAGAAAATAGGATTGGAAGGGTCGCTATAGGCATTGAGGCATTTCCTTAGTGCAGTGACGACAGAAGGGGCACAATAGATCTTTTAGGTCGCAGTGTATTAACACCCCATTCTCCACATAACATAACATGCTTGGTTTCGATTCATATTTTTTTTTTATTACTAATTATTAGAAAGCGGAATATATGCAAACTGCATATATATGCATTTTTTGCATATTTTACCAAAGTTCAGAAAATATTGCATATTTTTCCAAAATTCAGAAAATATTGCATATTTTACCAAAGTTCAGAAAATTTAAGAAAATATTGCATATTTTCGAAAAAAAAATGTATTACTATACTGTGCAAATCAAAAACTGTTTTAACAGATTATACAGATATATTTGAAATAAAGACCTTTTAAATTTTTGTATTTGTTTTTAAGTGTCACTTCTTGTAAATTCTTGTTAATTAGTTCTTGGAGGGTGGCATGCACAGGGTTTTTACCTTCTTAAGAGATTAAGCCCATTAAGGTAATTGTTAATAGATGGTATGTACACAGATAAAGTATTACCTACTACTAAGATAATTAGTAATTATCTTATTTTTACTATTTTTACAATTTACTCGATATTGAAGGGTGGACGGCCCAAACTGACTTGAAATTCGGATTCAGCGGATCAAAATACATGCCGATAGGTAGGTCGTGTCTGATGTAGGTACATACAACTTTTTTTTGTGTGTGCCGGTGAATAATTGCAGATTTGGATAAGTAACTTAGGTTGTGAAAATTGTTGTTTTGAATTTGAGCTTTATAACAGAATTGATAATAAGGAAGAATTATTTTTTATTATTTTAGAGTGCATGCCTAGTGATTTTTCTAGATTTATTATTATTTTATATATTACATTCTCTAGTTGCTGCGTTTAACGTTTGGAACATGATCGATTTTGATTTGGCCTCTGCCACCTCCAAATTTTTCTAATGATCTGTTTCTCCTGAACGCCATGTTCCGACAGTCTGTACCCTCAGTGTAAACTATACAGGATGTTTACTAAAGAATGGGCCAAACTTCAGATGTGGTTAGTTTGGACAAAAATAAGTTCATTTAAGCCAATTTATCTTAATAGAATATTGTTTGCTTAAGAAGTTACAGGGTGGAGAAACTATTTTTTTTTTCAATATTTTTACGATAATAAGGGAATTGTGCTATAAATAAATAACGCAAAACTTATAGGCAATGTTATTGGTGCTAGACAAGTCTTGACATGTTTATGCAAGTATCTGGTGCAATATTGTTCAATCTGATTTAGGTGTTCAACTGATATAGACGCGTTTTCATAGCACTGTTTTTATAACCATGGAAGACGCAGCAAAATCTCAAAGTGCAATAATTTTCTTGTTCTGAAAATAAGGTGTGAAATCATCAGAAATTATTCAGCGTCTGCAAGGAGTATTTGGTGAATCTTAGAATCCAAAAATACTGTTTGTCGGTGCATCGATCGTTTTAAAACTAATAGAACGTCACTAGAAGACGATCTACGCAGTGGGCGCCCAAGCACGTCGGTAAATAAAGAAAACATTACTACAATCGAAGATCTACTAAGTTCTGCGCTTAGTACGGCAGTACTAAAAAAAGACAGGTGAATGACTATTATTTGTCAAATTAGTGTACGCCTAGGAATATGTACACAAGTTCATGATATCTTGCATGATTGTTTGGGCGTTAGCAAGGTTTCGGCGGGCTGGGTGCCAAGGCTGTTGGAATCATAACAGAAACTCAATAGATCTGATACTTGTCAACTTCAAGAGCTGTTAGCCCGTTACGGTGATAAATTTTGGCAGTGAATAATAACCACTGACGAAACGTGGATTTCTTATTTCAATCCTGAGACCAAAAGTCAATTCAAAGAATGGCACAAACCTAAAGAAGGGCCTCCACGTATTGCGCGTAGAATTCTGTCTGTTGGAAAGGTAATGCTTACTGTATTCTGGGATTACGAAGAGATTATTTTTATGAATTATCTGGAAAAGGTACTACAATTAACGCAGAAAATTATTCGAATTTATTATCCGGGCCACTGCGACAGGCCTTTGTCAAAAAACAGCCTAAAAAGTTGCATAAGCGTCCGTTATTGCAACAGGATATAATGCAAGACCACACACCACAAGCAAAACGAAGGATTTTTCAGGACTACGATGATAATTGCTTCCGCATCCATCTTATTTCCCGGATCTTGCACCCAGTGATTATCATCTGTTTTCAAATGGAATGTCATGGAGTCAATATATTGAAAGGTGAAAATTATTTAACACAATTTTTTTTAAAAAATGACGAAAGGAGAATGTTAATAATAATGTCATATGCCATGAGATATCTATTACGAATACGGTAAGTAATTTTAACATAAAAAGTCACTGTAAATGTGTCTCACTAAGTTGGAACCATATGTATTATTGGTTTTGTGAAACAATTTATTCTCCATTAAAAGTTCTGCATGGTCCAAAACTAAAAATGTAATCACCAGATATCAATTTTTTTAAACCATATACGAGGTTTGTCAAAAAATATTATTTTTGCTAAACAGTAATGTACCTGTATTTTTAACTAACCTCGTATACAACTGATAAAATGTGATATCCGATGGTTGTATTTTAGACCATGCTTGACTTTTTATAAAGAATAACTTTTTTTCCCAATATTCATATTAAAACAGTTCTTCATATGCCACCAACTGTCTGTGTAAATTATTTTATTTTTACTTACCACTTCATTTTGCCTTTTGTACTCCTTCTATCTCTGTTCTGTTTTTATTTCATTCTTATTTTTATTACATATTCTATATTCTCTTTTATCCTGTGCCTGTTTTATTTTTATTTTTTATAACATTACGTTTTTTTCTTTTTGAACTAATATGTTTTATTTTCTTCTTTATCCTGTTTTCTATTTTTCTCTTGACTTACTTTCGTAATTTCTTTAAGTTTCTTTCTCCTTTTTTCTTTAAATTTTTTAATTTTTCTTTTTCCTTTACTATTTATTTTTATACTTACTTTTTTTTAACATTATTACCGCGTTTTTCTTTAAAATCTCCTCACTCTTCAATTATTTCTTTTTTATCTTTTTATCCCTTTTTCTTTTATTAACTTTATTTCTATTTACTTCTTTTTTAACTTTATAAATATGTTTCTCTATAGTATTTCCTTTTTTCTCAATTTTAATATTTATATCTTTTTCTTGTTCATCAATGTCTCTATTTATTTCTACACTCTTATGTTTCTTTTCTTTATTTTTTATTTTATTGTCATTTTTCAATTATTCTATTTTATTTTT